TGTTCATATTTATTAATTTTGTTTCAATATTTAACTAAACTTATAGCTGTAAATGGTCCATGGCCTATATTTTATACACAAAAATATTATTGGAGAAAAGTAAGACATTTGTGTAATAATTAGTAGAATTATTCTAAAAATATTTGATTTGATTAGGATTTAGGTACCTATAAATTTATCAATATAATGAAATTATGTACTAAAGGTTCAGTTGTTGATGCAAAGAATTGACTATAAGTAATTATTTAAACTGCTTGTATATATTTACATTAAACTAAATATGAAATTTTATGTTGAAACATTAGGAATTTTAAATATTTTATAACTAATTATAATTTTTGATTCTGTTATACTTTTCACTGTTTATATTTCAAATTAACTGTATGCTATGAATCATTTTATAGGCATCATAGTCTATGATGCCTATAAAATGCTTAACCAAATTACCAAATTTAATACGTTATTTTTTGTTCACATTTTCCAGGTTTTTCAAAAGTAATAAAAGCAAAGGATAACTTTATTAACATAAATGTTTACTTATAAATGTAAATAACAACAAGATAACTTATTTCTTTTTGTTTTAAATACTCATTAAAGAAATCATTGTCACTGTCACTAGGACACCACTCTTCATCGTCGGACGAAATTAAACCATCAATTGACATTGAATTTTCATCTGACACAATTGATATATTAAGTGTATTTTTATCCATTTCATTAGGTTCACGGGGTTCGCCTTCATAATTAACATAAGTAACTTTTTTATTCTATTCTATATTTTGTCTCCAATAATGGGCAACAAAAGTTATTTTTGAAGCATTTGATGTTGTTAAACGGTTCCTTTTTTTGTGTGAATATTTGAGAATGTGCTAAATGAACGTTCAGTGGTTGCTAATGTAGCAGGAACAATTAATATTTTTTTTGCAATACATAAATGAGTACTTGAACAAAAACTATTTCACCATGTTAAAGGACTTATTTTCTCCACACATTTCCAAATAAAATTATTGCTTCATATATCTTGTCGAGATCTGTAATTTGCTATATCAGCTATTATTTGAGCACCATCCATTTTAAGAGAATCAGTCATATTATTTTGTATAGATATCATTTGATCAATAAACTCAATAGCTTTTAATACTTCTGAATTTGATAAATTACACCCTTGAGTTTTGGGATCCAACAAAGATGCAGCTAAGTGTAGAGGTTTAATAGTATTTAAATGTCTTTCTTTAAACTTATTCAGTATTATTTGCACTTTTTTAGTAGAAATAATCAGTGATTCTGAGATATAACTACAAAAAGTATTTTGAATTTCATAAAAAGCATCAAATACATGATTAATTATATTGCTGTCCCCTTCTAAAATTGTAATCCATTTTACAATAGGGTTAAGTAAATTAATAAGTTTATCGATTTTAGTCCAAAATACAGCATCATCTAAAATTAATTTGTTTCTGTTTATTCCTATCATAGAAGAGCCAACAACATGAACAGCTAATGTTTGTAATGATAATTTACATTTTTTCATTGAAGTTAACTAGTCTTTCGTTAAAATAAGACAAACAATTCGAATATTTTTACTTGCCGGCATTTTCAAAGTATTTTGAAAAGTAAAATAACAAATAAAATCACTGTGAAAAACGATACTACTATAATCAATTTTAATCTAAGCCCTAATATATTGCTTATCAATAATATGTTGATAAACATATCAGTGTAATCAAGATATAAATACAATAACGTTGTCTCTTTCACTAGCACTGCCATACTTTAGTAATTATAATAAATAAAATGTATTAGTTCTTATTAAAGAAATATTCCCGAGTGGTAATAGAATATTTCCGGAATATTCCTCATTCCCAGGAACGTTCCCTGGGGAATATTTCTTGTGGTATATCACTAATCCAGACCATCGGATGGGTCTCTTCGGAGACCGGGTATCGTTTTTTTTTTTTTTATATATTATATTTATGTAATGAGCTATATTTTATTTCATTTTTATTTTATCATAAATTAACTTAATTTTGTTTATGTGTGGAGAGCATGTGTTTCCCTTTTCTTCTAGCCAACGCTAAGGAGCGAGTGTCCAGACCGCTCCTGGTGTTTTTCATTAATTTTCGATTAACATTAACGGATGTGTTCCAATACCGTCCGTGATGTTTGTAATACTATTTGTTTTTTTGTTTAAATATTTTATTTTATTTTTGTTGCCTTTATTTGTAGACATGGTTTTTGATCATTCGCATTTTTGTCCATGTTTAACTTAATTTTCTTTTTTTTAACAATTAAATTAAATTTCCTTATTAATTTCAACTGTAATATTTATTTTATTTTATTGAGTAACTTAATTACTCGCGTGTATTTTATCCCTATTCCTTAATATAGACACGGGCTACGGTATGTTTTACATATCAACCACATACAACTTTGATTGTCATAATTGTGTTTAATAAACCACGAGGTATTATAGTAATTTATACATAAAACGACTTATAAACTTAGATTATACTTTTAATTAACTTAAAATCAAATTCCACCTATGGTCCGGTAATCATATCTGATAGGTGTGACACCTCGCCTAGGCGGTGGCGACCCTTGCTACTATAGCTAGTCGTTATGCAAGTGGCAAACCATGTTGTTGTTACAGGCCAATATATAAAAGCCCACTTGCAAGTGCTAAAAAGTCTTTACTCGAAAATGATTCACGTAACATGTGTTATACAAGGCATCATAGAGTCGCAGAAGAAGTAAGAAGTCAATTTCATGCCGTAGATAAAATTATTTCAAGTGTGAAAAAAATATTCAGAAAAGCACCAAGTCGTTTACTTTTATTTAAAGCGAAACGCCAAATCTTACCATCATAGCCAATTATAACTCGTCGGGGAAGTTGGATTAACGTGGCAATTTATTATTGCGAGAATTTCGAGATAATACAGTTAGGCCAGTCAACAAAGGAATAATTTTAGCAAATGGCGGAAAAAATTCCCAACCAAATTTTTTTTTTTTTTAAAGTTGAATTATGTATATGTATAATGACATACTAAAAGTCCTTATCGATTGGACTTGAGCTTTTTTTTTACAGCCTCGCAAAAGTTCAAAAATATGAGCTTTTTTTAATTTTCTCAAAAAATATTTTACTTACAAAAAAAAGTTTCGTACAAAAGTTGTTTAAAAGACAATTATAAACAAAAAAATTATCTTATATTTTTTCATTTAAACAAATATTTTTCGAGTTACATTACATTTAATATGAGTACTAAAATTTATTTTCCAATTTTTTTCATTTTACGGTTACTTTTTATCATGTTATACTTACATTAGACACAATGTTATAAATGTTATATGTGTGTATGTGTGATTTTATTTATTTATAGTACCATTAAAGTGTAGTGTATATTAAGATACAACCGATAGAGTAGGTAATTGATTTGACGCTATATTGTTTAAACCGAACTAAACGCTAAATTGTACATTCTCAAACAATAATTATATTATGTCAATTGCCACCGGAATTTCTGCTAATCTTTTTCTTTTTCTTTGCCTTAATCCCAACTACTTGGGGTCGGCCACCCTCATCCTAAACTTCCATTTGACAACACGATCTTCCACATCGTCTATGCTCACATCAGCTGTCCTCATATCGCATTCAATAGTATCCCTCCATCTCTTTTTTGGTCTTCCTCTACCTCTTCTTTCTTCAACATTCATTTCTATAACTGTTCTTACAGCTTCCGATTCTTTTATCCTCTTAACATGACTAAATCATCTAAGTCTATTTACTCATCTACATTACACACATTCCTGTTCTATTCTTTTGTCAAATGCCCAACATTCTGAACCATTCATCATAGCTGATCTCACTACAATCTTATAGAACTTACCTTTCAGTCTCATTGGAGTTCTTTTATTGCATAACACACCAGACGCTTCTTTCAACTTCAACCACTTGCACTTAATCCTGTGTCTTACATTCAAAAACGGTGGTATTGACGANGTGTCTTACATTCTCGTCAATACCACCGTTTTTGAATGTAAGACACAGGATTAAGTGCAAGTGGTTGAAGTTGAAAGAAGCGTCTGGTGTGTTATGCAATAAAAGAACTCCAATGAGACTGAAAGGTAAGTTCTATAAGATTGTAGTGAGATCAGCTATGATGAATGGTTCAGAATGTTGGGCATTTGACAAAAGAATAGAACAGGAATGTGTGTAATGTAGATGAGTAAATAGACTTAGATGATTTAGTCATGTTAAGAGGATAAAAGAATCGGAAGCTGTAAGAACAGTTATAGAAATGAATGTTGAAGAAAGAAGAGGTAGAGGAAGACCAAAAAAGAGATGGAGGGATACTATTGAATGCGATATGAGGACAGCTGATGTGAGCATAGACGATGTGGAAGATCGTGTTGTCAAATGGAAGTTTAGGATGAGGGTGGCCGACCCCAAGTAGTTGGGATTAAGGCAAAGAAAAAGAAAAAGATTAGCAGAAATTCCGGTGGCAATTGACATAATATAATTATTGTTTGAGAATGTACAATTTAGCGTTTAGTTCGGTTTAAACAATATAGCGTCAAATCAATTACCTACTCTATCGGTTGTATCTTAATATACACTACACTTTAATGGTACTATAAATAAATAAAATCACACATACACACATATAACATTTATAACATTGTGTCTAATGTAAGTATAACATGATAAAAAGTAACCGTAAAATGAAAAAAATTGGAAAATAAATTTTAGTACTCATATTAAATGTAATGTAACTCGAAAAATATTTGTTTAAATGAAAAAATATAAGATAATTTTTTTGTTTAAAATTGTCTTTTAAACAACTTTTGTACGAAACTTTTTTTTGTAAGTAAAATATTTTTTGAGAAAATTAAAAAAAGCTCATATTTTTGAACTTTTGCGAGGCTGTAAAAAAAAAGCTCAAGTCCAATCGATAAGGACTTTTAGTATGTCATTATACATATACATAATTCAACTTAAAAAAAAAAAAAAAAAATTTGGTTGGGAATGTTTTCTTCCATTTTTCCTTTGTTGACTGGCCTAAGTGTATTATACACCGTATTGTTTTCATGTTGGACAAAAACGTTGCTGTTAGTATTAAAGACGTCCAATATTTCATCATAAAACCTGGATTAGAAAATAATTTGACGTATATTAAGTCAAACTTTGCTACCTTAACCTTAGCTATTGAAAAATTACAACAGCAACATATACCATTTTCGGATTCAATCAAAATTGTTAAGAATATCCAAAAGTCTTTGGAAAACTAAGTGATCCAAAAGGAAACGTTATTCAAAATAAGTTCAAAAGGTATTGGAAAAGAATTTTGGTCTCGCGGCATTAATAAAAATATCAAAAATTCTAACTGGTGAAGGAACATCAGGAAATTTATCTGGTCTTCCTGAAGATTTAAGTTGTAACGACTTAGCATTTTTTAAACGCACATCCGTGACGTTTGTCGATGTTGAGCGATCATTCTCAACACATAAAACTATTGTCAAATAACCGTAGATTATTCAAATATGAAAATGTAAGAAAACATATTATTATTCAGTGTAATTCTTTAGTTAAATAATATAAATTCATTTAAAATTAATACATTAAAACATTAATAATATATATACTATAAAATAAAAATAAATATTCAACTATAACATTTAAGCTGTTTTAAATAGTTATGTTTGAAAAAAATTATTATTAAAAAAAGTTTGTATTGAAATTGTAATTTGCATATTTTTATGTTTTAGTGTTATTTATAGTCCTTATTGTGGTGTTTTAAAGTGCATATTAAAGTGCTAAAAATCTATTTTGTTAGTGCTATAATATCCGAGCCATGATTATTAGATATAAACATTGAAAGATGCAAATTTTTTTGAGTTAATATATATGTATAATACATAAGAGATTACAAATACAGGTAGCTCATGGGTTTTTTATGACGATATTAGCAATTATAATGCCTTTATTATCAATGGTAATAAGACACATTGTTGTAAGTTTATAAACACACTGACTGACAATACAGAAATAATATCCATTGCTAGTGATAATAGACAATAAACACTCCGTGACTGTGATAGCGATATCATAAAAAAACTAAAAAGTAAAATATAAATATAGTTTAAAAAAACTGAAAAACACGCTTTATCGAACTAAAAAGTTAAAAATAATTTTAAAAATAAGCTTAAAACAATAATGAACAAAAAATACTAGTATTATTGTGAAAAAAAGCGTGGAAGCTTTGTGCCACATTTTTCGTTCATTATTGTTTTAAGCTTATTTTTAACTTTTTAGCTCGATATGCTTTAAAAGCGTGTTTTTAAATTTTTTTAAACTATGTTTATTGAATTATATGCTTTTGCACGAAATATTGTCAATATATGAATGGTATTATGGAGAAAAAAGTCTAATTATATAATTTTCAAGTTATTTATCTATTTTAATATCAATTTTCTGACGGATTAATCAAAATCACTTTTATTCCCATATTAAGGTTAGTTTTTATTGTATTTTATTATTTAAATTTTTTATCTTACATTTATAATAAGAGGGTAATGATAAAATATTTTATTTTTGTTAAAATTATAAAATTATCTTTTTTTTATAATTTATCAATAAATGCATTTTTACATTCAATTTACAGTCATATTTTTATAAAAAATAAATTTATTCACATTTATAATTCAAAATTTAAAAATTGAATGTACTTATGAATTCAGTCATTAAAAAATTAGTGGGCTTGCAAAGTAGAATTGTTAAAACATTGGGGTAATTTTTAAATAAATATAAATTATAAATTAAATACTAAATTATTAGAGGTATATTTTACAAACTGCAAAAATACGTAAATAAAAATTCAGAAGAATTTCTAAACTTCTATAATTTTAAATAAAATTTGGAATATTTTACGTGTGGATTAAAGATTTAAAAATAGAAGAACCTAAGTTTTACCATGTAGATCATTTAATGTAGTCTAAAAACATTAAATTATTTTTTAAAGAATATCATTTTTATAATTAGAATTTTATTTCTAAAATCAAAATAAATTTATCAACTAATTTGTGTAGTATATTTTGTGATTTACATAAGAAAAAAATCATTATATATGTGTAATGAATTGGATTTTGTTTAGTTTTGGATTATCTGATTTACATGGAGATGGCCGAGTACATAATGCAACTAATGGACCTAATGGACCTAATGGACCTAGTGGATTTGGGTTTGAACTAACTTTTCGTCTTCTTAAAGATTCTTCAGAAAGCTCTCCACCTTTGTGGCCTGCTCGTATTATGCAATCCCTTGCAAAATATGTATTTAAAACAGGTTTGCCAGTTTAATTAATCTGATAATTTATATGTGATTAACTTAATCATTTCAGTATTGTTAAGTGTCTAAGTTTCATTATTTTTTTGATTTTTGTGTTTAATTATAATTTTTAATATAAATTTAAGGTAATACATTGTATGCTGGTGATCATGTTTCTTGGCATTGTGGTTTAGATGGTAGTGAAAGTCGCTTACAACATATGTTGATGGGTGAAGATCCTCAGATGCAAATTACAGTAACACCTCATGGAACAGTACGATTTGTTCAAATTATCGGTGCTTGTTTGGATGAGTTACAAGCTGTTCAACAATGGAATGGTCCAGGTGTATTGCAAATAATGAAAAGATATCCAGTGTATTTATTTTTTATTTCATAATTATTATCATTTTTAGGTGAACTAAAATTTGTTTTCTAGTAAAATAATTGACTAACATAATTTTTATTTTCTTGCACAGGTGTTGTTTTAATGTAATTTATGTCACGAGTACAGTATAGTGATATTTACTAGGACCTAAAAATAGTGAAATCAAAAACTAAAATTCCTTATCCTCAAAATTGAGGTTTTTCCGGTTCTCTCCTTCAAGTTTTATTTAAATCACTAACAAATATTTTCACGGAATTTTCTACAAAATTCTCATACAAATTTAGTGGTTACTCTATTTTTAACACGCTTATATTAGCTTCACATGTATGTGAGTTGTGTTGTTTGTAACTCTTCACTCGCCACATGTTATTATCTTACATATCCCGTCGTCTATGGCCTTGAGACTAGACTGTCGGACGCTCAATATACGAAAAATATGGCACAAAGCCCCCACGTTTTTTTTCACAATAATACTAGTATTTTTCGTTCATTATTGTTTTAAGCTTATTTTTAACTTTTTAGTTTGATATGCTTTAAAAGCGTGTTTTTCAGTTTTTTTAAACTATATTTTTTGTAAATTTTGCCTCTCCCCTGAAATTTGGATTCAAGGTTGGAAAATGAGATTTACTTTAGTGTAAATTAAATTGTATTGAAATTCATTGGAAGTCCGTAGTGTGATTTATATTTAGTTCAGACAATTACATTTCAAGAAAAACAGGAAAACCTGCAGATAATGTGATATTTTTTTAATTTCAAGAGTTAATTTTTATGAAGTATACAAAAAATTGAGTGACAATTAAATTTATATGTGAATATTGTGGAAAATACTGCGAGAATGTTTGTTTTTGATTAAAATAAAATTTGAAGGGGAGAGCTAGAAAACCCCTATTTCGGAGATCGGAAATTTTAGTTGTTGATTTTGCTAATTTTAGATCTTATTGAATATCACTTTACTACTTATGACATACATTAAAGCAATATTGTGTATATGTATTTTAGTACTGGAGGGTTATGGTTAATAACTAATATGCGCAGAGGAGAAAGTATAATTGATATAGATCCTTCTGTTCGTAATGAAATAGCTGAAGGTATTAAAATGGAGGGTTCAAATTTATGTGGAATTAGTGCTCATTGCTCATGGTTAGAAATAATAGATAAAGGTAAAATAAATAAATACTTTTCTACAAAATATAAATTATTGAAATATTAATCATTTTTACTACAGATAGCAAAACACTTCATCATGTGTCTCTAGAGCATTCTACAAAAGATAACCAAATTAATAATATAACAATTGGGTAAGGTTTTTATTTTACTAATACATAAAAATTTTATTTTTCATGATTTATTCATTTTTATTTAAAATGATTAACAATATAGTATATTATTATTATAGAGTAGTACAGTGAAATGAAATTTTTTAAATAACTGAAAAATTAAATCTATTTTTATTTTATCTTAAGTATTGAAAAAACAAAGATAAAAATTTGTTAACTTTTTTACTAAAAGGAGAAACAATTACCCATGAAGGCATTTTTGAAAATTGAATGTAACAGAATGTCCAAGAAATAATTTGATTGTTTATTTTTCAGTAGATTTGTATATCAAATTCTTTGACAAATCTCATTTAGATTCAATAACTTCAATAAAGATCAAGAATCCCATCACTGTAGTCGCCACTCGCGAGAAGAAATTTTTTATTCATATTAAAATTATTTTACTATATTTTAAGTTTTAGCTTCGATGCAAAGCTGAGAAGATATTTTTTTGTGACTATCATTTATTTTTTCTGCTCTCACTTGAGAGAGCTCTACGTTTTTCAACGATACGTCAAATGATTACTATTCGTATCTAGTTAAAGATATTACCCTTTTTTTTTATTTTAACACGGTCGACAAAGTGTTGAACGACCTGGAATAACCGTGAGATATTACTCTTAAAAATTGAAAAAAAATTCTAATTTATCAATTAAACAGTTGCTTATTACATGTTCTCCATACAGACAATTAAAATCATTCATTTCTAATCAAGTTTGATATCATAGGTTTCAACTACAAAATTAAATCATTTTACTTTGTAATTTAATAATTTGTTTATTCTATTTGTGTGTGCTACTACTAGACTATAATATTCTAAATTTTTTGGCAACATGTAGCTATATAATTATTTAAAAAAAAAATGATTGAGTATATCTTTTTAACAACTTTGTTTTGATTGGTTTTATTAGTTAAAGTAAATCATTAAAATTAATTAAGTTCTGAATATTTCAATTGTAGAATTTTTTTAAACACTAAAAGTTACTAGGAAATGATTACTATTATTTCTATTTCAGTTATCACAGTAAAAATGCAAAAAAATATTGAGCTTATCTTATAAATTTACTATAAACAGTTATTATAAAACTTCCTGACTGCATATTAATTTTAATGATATAATTTTGTTAATTCTCATTATATTTTCTATTTAATGATGTCAATTTCAAACTTTCAAATTGAGCTAAAAGTTATGGTAATAAATGAATTTTTTTTTATTATAAACTTTCACAAAAATCAACTTTAAAGGATTAAAAAAACCCAGTACAGAGGGTTCGCGGCACAGTGGTGACATTGCATAGTTGAATCAAGTATAATGATATCTAACAGTGATTGAAATCACTATCATAAAAAATGCTTCAATGCAAATCTGTAGATAGTGTTAAATATAAAAAAAAAATTTGTCAAAAAAGTAAGTCAAGTGAAAGTTGAGATAATAAATGATGGCTACAAAAAAAAACCACATAGTCAAATAATATTAATATGAATTTCTTCTCACAAGAGGAGACTACAGTAATGGGATCCTTGATATTTATTGAATCTAAATGAGATAAAAATCAAATGAGTTAAACATATTTTTCCAACTTAAAAAGAATTAAGAAAAAATTCGGTGCCTCAGGTGTGAAAGTCCCAAGTGTTACCGTTTTAGAAACCGTACGTCGAATTCGTCACTTAATAAAAATGGAAATTTAGCTAGTTCAAATTTTAAAGTTATTTTTTTCGACTTCAAAGAAACAAAAAAATTTAAATATGATTAACTTTTTATACTATGTCAATTAGATTGATATAATATTTATGAAAATCAGTGTAATTCCCTTATAATAAAATAAAATACAAAACCAAGAATTTTAACACAAAAATAGTATATTTTTGAATACAGTAGCTATTTTCACCATGAAGACAAAATAAAGTCCGAATTTTTTTTTTTTAATATTAAAGTATATTACATAAGCTTTAATTTAAGATACATTTAAAAGTGATAGACTTTCCGGAACACTTTCAAAAGCTAAGTTGAAAAAGTAAATTTTTTGTGAAAAAGTTGTCATGAATTTCCCATGTGGGCTGGTAAAGGGTTAAATTTATAAAAAAAATATATCAAATGAAAGGTAATGATATCTTGCATCTATAAAAAAAAATTTATTGATTTGTTCATTTTCGAAAAAGTGAGGACAGTTTTATATTTCCATAAAAAAAAGAATCTTTCAAAAAGTTATAGCATTATAAAGTTAAAAATATAAAAAATAATTTTTTTACAAAAATCGTTTTAACTTTTAACTTTGATGTCTGTTTTCACCATGAAGATAAAATAAATAAAATCTGAAATTTTTTTTCCATGATAAAGTATATTCCATTAGCTTTAATTTAAGATATATATAAAAGTGTCAGACTTTCCGAAACATTTTCAAAGTCATGTTGAAAAAGTTAATTTGTTGTGAAAAAGTTGTCATTTTAAATCCCCCCTATGGGCAGGTAAAGGGTCAGATTTATAAAAAAAATATATCAAATGAAAGGTAATGATATCTTGCATCTATATATAAAAATTATATTTATATGTTCATTTTTGAAAAAGTTACGGCAGTTTTTAGTAAAAAAAATTGAAAAAATTTCGAAAATTAGCGATTTTTAAATTTGTAATTTTTTTGGAGGTTTCCCCCATTTACGGGGAACGAGGGAAATTTTTTCAATTTTTGAGGGTAATGTCTTCGACTAGATACGATTTGTGATCTTTTGACGTATCGTTGAAAGAAATCCGTTCGGTGAGAGCTGAGAAAAAGTGGTAACAGACACAAAAAAAAAAATAAATAAAAAAATAAACACATCTTAGTAAAACTAATACCTTCTCAGCTTCGCATCAAAGCTAAAATACGATTTTTGTAAGAAAATTCTTTTTTATATTCTTAACTTTATAATGCTATAACTTTTTGAGAAATGTATGGATCATTATATTTTTTTTAAGATATTTATTATATATTATTAATATATATATATTTATTTATTCATATATTACACTTCTAAATCATAAAACTTGTAATCAGAATATAAATAATGAAATAGGAGATCCTGTAGCTTTTGGAATAATTCATTAATTTTTTTAAATTAAACACTCTACGATTTGCATCAAAGCGTTTTTTAGGATAGTGATTTTAATCACTGTCAGATATCATTATACTTGATTCAACTATGCCACGACCCCACTGTGCTGGGTTTTTTACTTTAAAATACTATAACTTTTTAAAAATGTACTCTTTCATTCGACATACTTTATCTTAATGAAGATATAAATAATGAAATAGCAAACCATGTAACTTTTGGAATAATCCACCAATTTTTTAAAATTAAACACTATCTAAAGATTTGCATCGAAGCGTTTTATTTTGATAGTGATTTTAATCACTGACAGATATCATTATACTTTATCTAACTATGCCACGTCACCACTATGCATGGACCCCCCTTAAATTTATTAATTTTAAAAAATGTTTAAATTTTTTTTGTTCTGTAAGTAATTGAGTGGGTATTAATAAATAAAATACTTAATTAAAATATAAATTAAAGAACTTCTAATCAGGATAGCTAAGGGAATAAAAGTTGATGAGAGTTCAATATTTGCTATTGTCAATGTTCAATATTTTTCTTACTTTTAGCTTCGATGCGAAACAGAGAAGGTATTGGTTTTGCTATAATGTGTTTTTTTTTGTGTCTGTTACCACTTTTTCTCAGCTCTCACCGAACGGATTTCTTTCAACGATACGTCAAAAGATCACAAATCGTATCTAGTCGAAGACATTACCCTTCAAAATTGAAAAAATTTCCCTCGTTCCCCGTAAATGGGGGAAACCTCCAAAAAAATTACAAATTTAAAAATCGCTAATTTTCGAAATTTTTTCAATTTTTTTTACTAAAAACTGCCATAACATTTTCAAAAAAGAACGTATGAATATAATTTTTTTTTTATANTAACTTTTTCAAAAATGAACATATCAATATAATTTTTTTTTATATAGATGCTTGATGTCTTTACTTATCATTTGGTATATTTTTTTTGTAAATCTGACACTTTATCTGCCCACAGGGGGGGATTTAAAATGACAACTTTTTCACAAAAAATTAACTTTTTCAACTTAACTTTTGAAAATGTTCCGGAAGGTTTGACACCTTTATATATATCTTAAATTAAAGCTAATGTAATTGTACTTTAATTTGAAAAAAAAAATTTGACCTCTGGACTTGTCTTTATGGTGAAAACGGCTACCGAATGCTATTTTTGTGTAAAAATTTTCGATTTTATATTTTACATTTTTTACTTTAAAGTGCTATAACTTTTTAAAAAATGTATGGATCAATACAATTTTTTCATGAGAAGTAGTATTTGTATACATCTTTCATTGTGTATACTTTTTTTTTATACTTGTATACTTGTCTTCGTGGTGAAAGTTGACATCAAAATTAATAAAAAATTACGATTTTTGTAAAATAATTTTTTTTTATATTTTTAACTTAATAATGCTCTAACTTTTTCAAAAATGAACATATCAATATAATTTTTTTTTATATAGATGCTTGATGTCTTTACTTATCATTTCGTATATTTTTTTTGTAAATCTGACACTTAACCTGCCCACAGGGGGGGATTTAAAATGACAACTTTTTCACAAAAAATTAACTTTTTCAACTTAACTTTTGAAAATGTTCCGGAAGGTCTGACACTTTTATATATATCTTAAATTAAAGCTAATGTAATATACTTTAATTTGAAAAAAAAAAATTTGACCTCTGGACTTGTCTTCGTGGTGAAAGTTGACATCAAAGTTAATAAAAAATTACGATTTTTGTAAAATAATTTTTTTTTATATTTTTAACTTAATAATGCTCTAACTTTTTCAAAAATGAACATATCAATATAATTTTTTTTTATATAGATGCTTGATGTCTTTACTTATCATTTCGTATATTTTTTTTGTAAATCTGACACTTAACCTGCCCACAGGGGGGGATTTAAAATGACAACTTTTTCATTCGACATACTTTATCTTAATCAGGATATTAATAAGGAACCAGCAGATCAAGTAGCTTTTGGAATAAAACACCAATTTTTTTAAAATTAAACACTATCTTAAGATTTGCATCAAAGCGTTTATTTTTGATAGTGATTTTAATCACTGTCAGATATCATTATACTTGATCCAACTATGCCACGTCACCACTGTGCCGCGACCCCTCTGTGCTGGGTTTTTTGACATAAATTTGTAGTATTATTTAAAAAAAAAATTTTTTCTGTCAATAATTTACTGTAAGGGGTAGTTGAGGAAGAAAATAATAATAATCAAAGTCAGGACAACAAATATTTTTTAATATTTTTAATAAACTATATGTAAAAATGAAAGAATTAAATATAAAAATTGTTTTAATCAAAAAATAAATTTAAAACTAAAACAAATTAAGATGAATATATATTGTGTGTTTTAGATTTGATCGAAATTTCAATTATAAAAGTTGTAATACCGGTGAATTAGCTCAAGTAAAATTTTTAGATAGAGTTCATCTTGCTTTTAATCTAGAAGCTGGACTATTATTACCACTAGTGTTAAAGTAAAAAAATATTTTCATTTCACAAAAAGATTAAAATAACACTATTTAAATAAAATTAAATCTTTATTTTCAGGGGTCGTATTAGACATGGTCGTCATTTTACATTTAAATCTTTGAGTGGTGATTCAACTATAACATTTGTTGCACCATCAGTTTCTGGTTCATTAGTCAATGATGAAAAACCATATGCAGCTCAAGACTCCTGGCTTCAAGTATTAGTTTCAAATAGTTTTCTTGAATCAATGGAAACAAGTTTAAATTTTCTTAATAATCCTATTTTGGTAATAATTTTATTTTATTTATTGCAATAGTTAAAGGGTTGAGAACAGTAAAATTATTTTAGTGTTTGTAATTTTTATCATATTTTTTTTAATAACTTATTGAATATAAGTAGGGGATTTAAGACCCATGTGTCCACCAGTATATTTTGAATAACTATTCAGTTATTTTAATTTTTACTTACAAATAGCATTGAAATTAAAAAAAATAATTAAATTTTAACTTTTTCAGTTAAGTATTAAAATTTGTTTACATTTATAAATTACCCTTTTAAACTAAATTTAATCACTTTAGAAATAAAGTTAGTCTTTTGTTAACTATAAAAGAGTAAAATGATACAATTTTTAATAATATTAATATATAAAAAATGCTAGTTCAGTGGTTCAAAAAATAGTACTCAATTATTTCATTAAGAATATTTCGCATTAAAATAAAAATATTGTAACTCAAATTTTTACACTTTTCAGGAGAGCAGAAAGTGAGAACTAAGAGTTCTTACTTTTAGTGTATTATATAAATTCTTGTTGTAACCTCTCATTAATAATCTTTGTTACTCTAACTATATAATAAGTATACAGAATATTGTATTGTATTGAATATTATAAAAAAAAAATTGTAACATTGTTTGGTCGTGGTACATTGAGGACATGTCATATTTGGGACAAGTATAGATAACATCTGACAGTGATTAAAATTACAATCATGAGAAATGATTTGATGCAAATTCGTAACATGGCTAAACCATCTAAGTCTATTTTCTCTCATCTTATCAACAATTGAAACTACACCTAAACTCCCTCCTATACATTCGGTTCTTATTCTATCTTCTCTAGTCACGCCACTCATCTATCTAAGCATTCTCATCTACATTACACACATTCCTGTTCTATTCTTTTGTCAAATGCCCAACATTCTGAACCATTCATCATAGCTGATCTCACTACAATCTTATAGAACTTACCTTTCAGTCTCATTGGAGTTCTTTTATTGCATAACACACCAGACGCTTCTCTCCATTTCTCCATTTTGCACTTAAACCTGTGTTTTACATCCTCGTCAATACCACCATTTTTTCACAAATAAACCTAAATATTTAAAAAATTCCACCTCTTTTATTACGACTTCGTTTATTGTCAATATCTCCTTATTTCACCTACCTAGGGTTCTCCTTTGTCATACTCCTACTCTATGTACTCTATCTTAATCCTACTTATTTTTAAGTTCGCCTACTTGTCTGGGTTTGAATTTGTAGTATCTGTCTACCAGACTAAAGGGGCTAGCCATCACTTGAAATCTGGAGACGTAAGTGGTTACAGTCGGATACTGACTAAAGCGAAATCTAACAGTGATGGTTTACCTCCTGGGAGACTAGCGATTCTGTCAGTGGGAGTATAAGCAACCAACAGTTGCCTGAACCAAATTAGGTAGAGATTTGGATAGTACCTCGGTCCGACCATAGATTGTTAATGAGATTAATTCACTCTGAGACTAACTGATAGATTGTTAGGAAAGTACCAAACCCCTAACTATTGCTGCCCAATTTCATTTGGGTGCCTGCCTTACTTGGTGACGAACTCTGCTAGTATACCGAGTCTAGGATTGTAGGTGTAAACATCCACAATGGTACTTTATATCCTTTATTATATTCATGTACCTTTTTGAGACTCTATGAATAATTAATTATTATAGTAATTAAATTCAGTACAACATATAAAAAATATAAGTTAAAATGATGGATGAAATTAATAAAGAAATACAAAATGTACCACGATATCATCTTGTTCAGTGGTGATATAATGTTAATAGTAGAAAATTAATTAAAGGCTAGAGGTGTGGAGATAAACTTTTGAAGGAAAGAGATTAAGAATAAGTGGGAATAAGATAGAAGATATAGAGTATGAGTTTGACAAAGGAGAACAATAGCTAAGTGAAATAAGGAAATCAGTGACAATAAGCAAGGACGTAATAAAAGATAAGGAAAGTTTTAAGTATTTAGAGTCAGTTGTGAAAAAGAATGATGGTATTAATGTGGATGTAAAACACAGGTTTAAGTGCAAAATGGAGAAATGAGAGAAGCGTCTGGTGTGTTATGCAATAAAAGAACTCCAATGAGACTGAAAGGTAAGTTCTATAAGATTGTAGTGAGATCAGCTATGATGAATGGTTCAGAATGTTGGGTATTTAACAAAAGAATAGAACAGAAATGTGTGTAACACAGATGAGAATGCTTAGATGATTGAGTGGAGTGACTAGAGAAGATAGGATAAGGAACAAACCTATAAGAGGGAGTATAGGTGTAGTGTCAATTGTTGATAAGATGAGAGAAAATAGACTTAGATAGTTTGGTCATGTTATGAGAAGAGAGGAAAAGCTGTAAGAACAGTTATTGAAATGAATGTTGAAGGAAGAAGAGGTAGAGGAATATCAAAAAAAGAAGAAACCATTGAGAAAAAAGAAGGATACAGACAGACAAAAATTGATTTATATATATAAATAGAAGATAAAAAAGACTATTCAATTTTTATTCTTAATTCTAAAATCTTATTTAATTTATTATTACTAAAATCATACTTAATTATATATTTTTTAGGAACCATTGCCCAAAACTGTGTGTTGGCCTGAACATAATTTAACATTAACTATAAATCCAGATAAAATATGATATTTTAAAGAATGAAGATTATAACATAATTTTAATTAAAATGGCTGTAAATGGACAATATGAGAGACATGAGTTTTATATTTTTTAAAATTTTAAATAATTATATTTTGTTAGAATTATACAGAAAAATATAATGATTAAAATCAAGATTTCAAAAAGTAAGGAAATTTGATATTAGTTTCTATAACTTAACGTAAGCTTATCTATCACAAATGTGAAATTTTAGTATAACTTCTGAATTATTTTAGTTGATACTCCTTTATTGAGCGCTTATAAAATATTAGTGTTAGGTTATTTTAATTGATTATGCATTAAAATTAATTTTTGTTTGACATTGCAATATTAATCAATTAATGGCATCATTTTTTTTTTAACTTGTCAATTTGAATTTTTAAAAAAGTATTTAAACTTTTTTTATTAATCCCGAACATTAACTATGAATGAATTCTTAAATTATTCAATTAGTGGATGTGAATGTATTTTCTGATATGCAGTATGTTATAGGTAAAATTGCCTATCTCTTTCAATGTATTTAAACACTTTTAAATAATTTAAATATTGGTGTCAACTTTGAATTCAGTATCCTGAAAATCTTTTGAGAATATTAGATTCAAGGAATATTTTTGATATAAAATCAATAAATTTTTTCTCATATAATACATAATACTCTAGTTATAACAAAAAAATAATTTACATTTATTAAACTTTTTTGGTGAAATAGTCTTGAAAATTAACTTTTTCCTTAAACTCCATATCTAGAATAAGCTATTAAGGCTTACTAACTAATGTTACACATAAAGCTTACTTTTGTGTTTATTATTACTTAAGTTGAAATCCATAATTAAATTGATTCTAATTTTACTCAAATATTTTTTTAATTATGATGAATAAGGTTTATGTATTAAAAAATTGATTTATATTTCTTCACATAATATTAACTAACATGCTATTTATCTAAGAGAATTTATTTTTCCTCTACATTGATTTAATTGATACCAACAAATTTAGATTCAGTACAAAAAATACATAAATATCAAGAAAGTCACTAAATTTATTTACAGAGGTATGTTACGCCTCAATAGCCTGGGTGGCAAAATTTTAAGATGCTTTATAGTTGAATTAAAGAATTTTCATTTTTTGCTTATTAGACCTATTTAACAAAATTAATCTATTTTATAGTTATTGTTCTTGTGATTTCCAAAATTAGTATAATTGTTTTACTATAATTAAATGTTGAAAAAACGCTTTAAGTAATAAATTTGTTTAGATTAGAAAATATTTTTTAAAATAAAATAATGTTTTTTTATTACTAATAATGATGTAAATGTAAATATCATATTAAAGTATAAATATACATATATTTATAAGATTGTAAGCTTTATATTGAATTTGTTTATTCCTTTATTAGTCAGGCTGATATAAGGGTAATTTTTATTCAGTTAAACACGTTATAAATAAGAATAGTTATTAATAAATATTTATAATTATATAATGTCTTACTTTTTGTATTAGCAATTGTATATATTTTTATATAATATATAAAAATATTATATATTATATGTTATAAAGTATAATTTAGTCTTAGTTCCTCTAATTTTATGGTTTTTTTTTTATTAGTGTGTGATTAATACCAATAATTAGACTTTATAATTATTTAAACAAATTTTTACTTTAAATTTTATACATTTTATATTTGTTAATAATATTTATAAGTTATGATTAATTAATTAGTTATAATAATAGTTAATTATATTTAAATATTTTTAAAATTTTTTGTATTCAATGCTAATTAAATTGGTCTACAAAAATAATTTTTTGATTATGTATTTTAATGATTACTTAGGACAACAAATAACACAAAACGGTAGCACAGTGGAGTTGCGGCACAATATAAATTTTTTTAAAATTGCAATTTTTGCACAAAAGTTTAACTTGAAAATGTTCCAGAAATACTCCGAGCTTCAATGATATGTAAAATAAGTATAATGTTATGCACCATAAATAAAAAAAAAAAAAATTGTCCCAACGACTTATCTTCTGTGTGTAAATGGTTGCCGTATTTAAAAAACATGCAATTTTAATGTTGAAATTTTATTTTTGTTTGTATTTAATTTGCAAGCTGAGTTTGAATGTTCTTACCTGAGTTTTAACTATCCTTCAGACGTGCAGAATAGTGATAAAAAAGAACGCAAAGCCAAACAGTTTGTTTTTGATGAAAAAATAATATAATTGATGTAACTTCACATATGTTTATATAAAACAATTGTAATAATCACGCGAAATTTACGGAGAAATATTATTCTTAATTAATAAACACAACCTTAAATATTAATAAATACACTTATAATTATTCTGCAGTGTTAAATTAATTTAGCTCGCGAGAACCAGACGATAAAAGCGACGTGTTCGTATGTCGGTTTTATCGAAACAGGACGAGAGACCCTCTCCTGGTATTCTTCTTAATACCCTTTTCAGAGACGTACATATTCATCGTCCGGCTTTTATTTACTTCACATTTTTTAGGAATTTCATGATTTTGTATATACATTGAAAAAGGGTTCTTTGACTGAAAATAATAAATGGAAACATTTGATTTTTGAAGAGTGCACGTGCGGTGAAAAAGAAGAGCGGATGACTGTGGCGTGATTGTGTCAACTATGTGTTGGATGTGATTAAGAACAGAAAATATTGATTTTGTATAGTATTTGTTGTGAGAAGTATTGTGTAATAGTATAGAATATTTGTTTGTGTTGAGAGATGAAAGAGAAGAGAAAGAAATAGTGTTTTTAAGTATAGGGCCTATTACAACACATTATATCTATCACTTTATAAGGGTGGACTATCATGTCACCCCAAGTGGATAACCAAAGATTCCTGTCTTTCTTACGAAATTAGGTATCTCTCAGGGTCTTAGGTTTTTCAGGAAAAGGTTTACTCAAAAAGTTTGATCTTAGTGTTGATAAGACTTCACATTCGCACATTATGTGAAATGAGTCTTCCTCTTCTACTCCACACTTCCTGCACAATGATAATTCCGATACCCCCATTGCGTAAAGATGTTTAAGCAAGTGACCATGTCCTGTCACTAGACCACTCAAAGTGCTTATTTGATGTCTAATTATACTATTGAGATCACCCAGCAGAAGACCGGGGGTCTTGATAAACATTTTAGATTAAGTTTCTCAGGTCTAAGTTTTAGACCCTCGATTTTGTCAGCAATATCGGTGTCGGCCTCGGTCGAACACTATGGAATTCGCTCCCAAACCGTATACCACCACAACCAACAAGTCAGTTTGAGTTTAGTAGATTATCTTTCAGAACCTCGTGAAATAACGCATATAAATCTGTATTAATTATTTTCATATTATTGTGTTTATTTATTAATTGTGTTAATAAAATCAACCAGCTGAGCTTCTATTTACTCATTTTATTATTTAAAGATCTCTTTTAATCCTTTAACTGATTTACAACGTTACAACTGACCACCCTATCAGAATTTCCTCGGGCAGTTTATCCATCCCAACTGCATATAATTTTCAAAAGTTTTTGTGATATAATTATTCTGATTTAGTACTCTAAATGAGTCAGTGTCAGTGTTTTGAGTTCCATTCAGTAGTTGCGGGCTATTAGAAACCTATTTACGTCGTTTTAAACCTACTAAATTCATAACAGCGATAATATTATCACGCAGTTGAATCTACCGTATTAATTTTATAATGATGTGTTTTTTTTTAGCTTCGATACGAAGTTGAGAGGGTATTAATTTTATCATGTGTTTTTTTTTTTTAGCTTCGATGCGAAGCTGAGAAGGTATTAATTTAACTATGATGTGTTTTTTTTTTCTTTTGTGTCTGTTGCCACTTTTTCTTAGCTCTCATTGGACCGATTTCTTTCAACAATACGTCAAAAGATATCAAATCGTATCTAATTGAAGACATTACCCTTAAAAATTGAAAAAATTTCCCTCGTTCCCCGTAAATGGGGGAAATATCCAAAAAAATTACAAATTTAAAAATCGACAAATTTTGTCATTTTTTTCACTTTTTTTTCTTAAAACTTCCATAACTTTTTCAATAATAAACAAATCAACATAATTTTTTTTAGATATTTCCTTTTTATTTGATATCATTTTTTTTTAAATTTAACACTTAACTTGCTCACTGGGGGGATTTAAAATAGCAACTTTTTTATAAAAACTAACTTTTTCAACTTAATTTTTGAAAATGTTCCGGAAATACTGCGTCCTTTAAACATATGTCAAACTAAAGCTTATTTTATGTACTATAAAATTAAAAAAGAAAATTTGTCCCGACACTTTATCTTCTGCATGTAAACGGTTGCCGTAGTTAAAAAAACACTATTTTTGTGTTAAAATTTTCGATTTTCGATTTTTAATTTTCAACTTAAAAATGCTATAACTTTTCGAAAAATGCATGTATCAGCACAATTTTTTTTTTTTTAAATACATTATAAGTACATCTTCCATTTGACATACTTTTTATTAAAATTAGACAATTTCCCCTTATATAGGGGGGGTTCAAACTTTGAAACATTGTATAAAAAATAGAACTTTTTCAACTGAACTTTTGAAAATGTTCCGGAAATACTGCGTCCTTTAAACATATATCAAATTAAAGCTTATTTTATGTACTATAAAATAAAAAAACCCAGCACAGTGGAGTCGTGGCATAGTGGGGACGTTGCATAGTTGGGTCCAGTATAGATTTAATCTGACAGTGATTAAAATCACTATCATAAGAAACGCTTCGATGCAAATCTGTAGATAGTGTTTAATTCTAAGAAATTAACGAATAATTACAAAAGCAACATCAACTTCTATTTCCTTAATTATACCCAGATTAGTAATTCTTTTAATTATATATTATATAATTTTTAAAATTAATTTTTTTTAATAAAAATATAGAAAATTTTATGAGAATTAAAACAATGGAATTTTTAAGATTAATATGCAGTCAGGAAATTTTATAATTACTATTTACAGTATATTTATCAGAAAAACTCATTATTTTTTTGCATTTTTATCGTAATAGCGCACTTAAATAGAAATCATAGTAATCATTTCTAAGTAATTTTTGGTATTTAAAAAGTATTTATATGAACTGAATTAAGTTTAATGATTTACTTTAACTAAAATAACCAATATAAAAAAAACACATCATAGTAAAATTAATACCTTATCTTCGCATCGAAGCTAAAAAAGTGGTTAAAAAGATCTACTCAATAGCGCACTATAAAATTTGATTATAATTGTAAAAATCCATTGTTAATTCAGGAAAAACTAACAATAATTTTTTTTAGAAATGATTTATTTAGCAACATGTTACCAAAAAATTTTGAATATTATAGTCTAGTAGTTGCACACACAAATAGAGTAAATTAAATTATTTAATTTTGTAGTTGAAACCTATCATATTAAATTATCATATCAAACTTGATTCGTAAATAAATACTTTGAAAACATTAGAAATGAATGATTTTAATTGTCTGCATGGAGAACATAGGATAAGTAACTGTTGCATTGATAAATTAGAATTTTTTTTTCAATTTTTGAGGGTAACTAATTGTAATCATTTGACGTATCGTTGAAAAATATGGGTCAAGTTCGAGCAGAGAAAATAAATGATAGTCACAAAAAAATACCTTCTCAGTTATGCATCGAAGCTAAAATCTAAAATATAGTAAAATAATTGTAATACGAATAAGAAATTTCTTCTTGCAAGGGACGACTAAAGTGATAAGATCCTTGATCTTTATTGAAGTTATTGTATCTAAATGAGATAAAAATCAAACGAGTTAAAAATTTATACTAACTTAAAAAGAATTAAGAAAAAATGCAAAAAATGCATTGCCATACGCGGGTTGGAACCTCGTACCCCAAGCGTGTAAAACATAAGTTTTAACAACTCGGCAACCGTACAAAAAAAAAAAAACACATCATGGTAAAATTAATACTTTCTCAGCTTCGCATTGTAGCTAAAATGTTCACAAAAGTAAAAATCTGTTGTACTTTTAACTGTCGCATCGAAGCTAAAGAAGTTTGTCGAATGAAAGAGGTATATATAAAGTATTTACCATTAAAGAATAGAATTGATTCATGCAATTTTTAAAAAGTTATATCAACATAATGTTTTATACCCCTTTATACAAGGGGGCCAAAACTTTATACTTTGGTATATTTTTTTTATAAATTTAACCCTTTACCAGCCCACATGGGAAATTCATAATGACAACTTTTTCACAAAATTAACTTTTGTAAGTGTTTCGAAAATACTGTCACTATTATATATATTTTAAATTAAAGCTAATGTAATATACTTTATTATGGAAAAAAAAAATTTTGGACTTCATTTTGTCTTCACGGTGAAAATGGTTACCAAATGCTATTTTTGTGTGAAAATTCTCGATTTTATTTTTTACATTTTTAACTTTATAATGCTATAACTTAATGAAAAGTGTATGGATCAATACAATTTTTTTATGAGAAATAATATTTTTTATTAGTCCCTTTTTCGTTCGATATACTTTATCTTAATCAGGATATTAATAAGGAACTAGCAGATCATGTAGCTTTTGGAATAATACACCAATTTTTTTAAAATTAAACACTATCTAAAGATTTGCATAGAATCGTTTTTTTTTTATAGTGATTTTAATCACTGTTAGATATCATTATACTTGACCTTACTATGCCACGTCACCACTGTGCCGCGACCCCCCTGTACTAGGTTTTTTGTGTCTGTTACCACTTTTTCTCAGCTCTCATCGAACCGATTTCTTTCAACAATACGTTAACAATAAGCAACAATTTAAAAAAAAATGATATCAAATAAAAAGGAAATATCTAAAAAAAATTATGTTGATTTGTTTATTATTACGTGTTAAAACTTAGGTGTTAAACCGAATCAAGACAATTCGGTATGAGATGTGCGCAATGGAGTGAGTGCTTAGGAATTATGTTCACCTCACTAATAACTAAAACTAAAACTAAATTAGTTAAGCAAAAAAATATCTACATTTTCTACATAAGTTTCTTTATATGGTCAATTTTGACAATACAGAAGAAATATAAAAAATTCTTTGACATTTTTAATAATTGTGACAAATATGAAACATAAACTATATTTTTTATTTTAATATTCTCTTCAATAGCATGAATTTGAAAAAAGAGCAAAAGTTGATTTTTGTATCTTGCAATTTTTAGTCAATAGGTCCATCCAGTATCTTTTCTGCTTAGTGTCAATTATTATATGCATTATAAGACTGTATACATTTTTTAAATCAATTTTATAATTTTGTTTTATATATTTTAATATATATTTTTTCAACTATTTAATCTTTTTGTTTATATTGAAATATATGAAAATACAAGTAAAATTTTAATTAATTTATCACTCTAATCCGAATCCTTCTGTGTTCAATATAGCAGTGAGTAATTTATCCTTAATTTTTTCACTAGTAGTGTACTGCGGTAGTACTAATTGATTAAAACACGTATGAGCTTCAGGCAAATAATCAGGCTTATTTGGCCCTTTACTTATTTTGAAATTCATGTCTCCCATACCGCCAACTGGAATCCGGTCACTGCCAGTAACGAATAGTAAAAATTTCCTTTTTTGTACATCTGTAAGTGAATTGATGACGTTCCAAAATTCTCTAGACAATCATTTTACAAATTATATATGTATAAATATACAAAAGTTTTTTCCCTGTGGATAGAGGATAAGAATACTTCCACGGCCCCTCTGCCAGTCGTAAGAGGCGAATAATGAGGTTGTGTAAGGTCGATAGTCGGCGTAAAAATCTTTGTCAAAAAAAGTATGAGGAATCCTGAACAAAACTTAGGCGGATTTTCCCATCTCGGATGTACGCGAGGAAAACAGAAAGCAGTTTAGCTGATGTGAGCGTAAATGATGTGGGAGATCATGTCAAGTGGAAGTTTAGGATAAGGGTGCCCGACCCCAAGTAGTTGGGATTAAGGCGAGGAAGAATAAGAAAAAGATAAATATACAAAAGTTCCTTCAAGTATCACCGAAATTAATATTTTCTTTATAAAAATAATAGGAGATCTATTTTTATTTTTTATTAGGAAATGTAGTAATTATTTTTCCGAAGTATCCATCACTCTCAAAGGTCAAATTAATGGCGAAACTAGTATAAGAGATCTCGGGGCCTAAGCTCTAAAAAGTAAGAAATTTTTTTTAGAATGGGGTAAAAGAAATTTTGCATCTCATAAAATATTTTAGTTGTACCTATGATAGAAGAAGCCGTGGCATAATAATACAATTATAATTTAAGTCAACCATATGTACTTCATTTTAATTATTTCAAAAAAACCAAAACCAAAACTAAATTGAAATTCATAACATAGTCTTACAGAAAACATTTGCTATTTAATAAAATGTATATAAGTAACAAAAAAAAAAAATTCAAATGTTTTATGTTACTTATAAGTGATACGATCACATATACGTGATCGTATCCCATAACATCATTGTACCACCGACTAGGCTTATATTTGATTATATCACGATTTAAAATCTTATCATGCTTACCAATCTGTTTACAAATATTACCCGCGTATTTTCAAAGAAATTTGGCTAATATAATAAGAAGACATAATTCTAAGTATTTTTTATATTAATTATATAGATGATAACTTCATTTTTTCACAAACATTTAAAAACATATTGAATATGTATTAAATGCTATTAGTGCGGAAGGTTTTGAATTTAAACTACTAAAATGTAATTTTGCCTATAACTTTCTAATGTATTTAAGATATAATTAAAAAAACAATTCAGTTATACCAGTTAAGGATAACTTTAGGTCTATTAAGGAATTTGTAACACCAAAAACAAATAAAATTACAAATTTAAAAATAGCTATTTTTTCTCAAGTTTAGCTTTGATGAGAAGCTGAAAAGGTATTAATTTTACTATGATATTTTTATTTATTTTTTTTTGAGTTTATCACTACTTTTTCTCAGTTTTCACTGGACCGATTTTTCTCAACGATACATCAAAAGATCACAAATCGTATTTAGCTGAAAATATGACCCTCATAAATTGAAAATTTTGCCCTCCTTCCCCGTAAATAGTGAAAATCTCCCAAAAAATTACGATTTTTAAAATCGGTAAATTTCAACATTTTAAAAATTTTTTTTTTCCTAAATATTGCCATAACTTATTGAAAAATGAACAAATAAAAATAATTCTATTTTATAGTGAAACCATAGATATTTTTCTTTTATTTAATATAAATTTTTTGAAAATCTGATCCTTTATCTGCTCACAGGGGGGAGATTCAAAATTGCAATTTCTGCACAAAAATTTAACATTTTGAAAATGTTTCGGAAATACTCCGAGCTTCAATCATATGTTAAAGTAAAGATAATGTTATGCACTATAAGTAAAAAAAAAAGTGTTTCTTATGATAGTGATTTTAATCACTGTCAATGTCATCTATACTAGTCCCAACTATGCCACGCTTATATTGTACCGCGACCTCACTTTGCTATGTTTTTTTACTTAAAACTGTCATAACTTTTCAAAAAATGTATGGGTTAATACAATTTTTTTTTTAGATACATGTGGTATTTACCTATCATTTTGTATATTTTTTTTGTAAATGTAACCCTGAACCTGCCCACAAGGGAGGATTCAAAATGACAACTTTTTCATAAAATATTAATTTTTCAACTTAACTTTCGAAATTGTTCCGGAAATACAGATTTTTTTTATATATATCTTAAATTAAAGATTATGTAATTATAAGTAGATTTTTTTATTATAATTTACAGCTAATGTTATATACTTTTCGGAAATTTAATACAGGGGAAACTTTTATTTAAGAGCATTTAATTAAATATTTTCTCTATTTAATAATCTCTAATTTAATTAAAAAAATGCGGTATAACAGAAAAGTCGAGGCACAGTGTTGACGTGGCATAGATGGGAAAAGTTTAGATGATATATGGCAGTGATTAAAATCACTATCACAAGAAATGCTTTGATGCAAATCTGTAGATAGTGTTTAATTTTAAGAAATTGGTGCATTATTCCTAAAGAAAATGAACTCTTAATTCCTTATTTATTTCCTGATTAGTAGTTCTTAGATTTAAAAGTATAATTTATGAATAAATATTTATTGTAGCATTTAAATATAGTATGAAATATTAATAATTATTAATAATTTATTATTGTAATTTTTACGGGGAAATTATAAAATTTATAAAGAAGTAGTTACCTTTATGGCGAACGTGTACAGAAATTGAAGGGATTGATACAAAACTTTTCAGAAGATAATTTGTTGTTAATTATATGAATAAATGATCTACAAGATATTTTCATCAAAGTCAAAACTATACTTTCCTTAATAATATTTCGGACTGATTTTAAAATACAATTATTTTTTTTGTTTTTTTAGATGTTTCTTTTATTTAACAATTTTTTTAAATTTAGCCCTTCTACATTATAAGAAAGGATTTAAAATAGCAAATTTTGTATAAAAAGTAGAACTTATGTAAATTGACTTTTGAAATGATACAGAAATTTTACATCATTAATAAATATTTTATATACTCCAAGTTTTAAAACAAAATTGTCTTAACACCTACAAAAAACTGTCATTATTAAAAAAACCGTAGCACTGTGGAGACACAAACAATAATGAAATAATCAAAATTGACACAATTTATCATTCAAAAATAAAATTTGAAGAACTTATACTTAGTAATAATCCAGTACAATGCCTCCGATGCCAAAATTTTGGACACACCAAAAAATATTGTAACCACGAACCCCGCTGTGTCAAATGTGACGGATCACATTTGTCAAAAAACTAAAGACCAACCGCCCAAATGTGTATTATGTGGAGGAGCTCATCCAGCAAATTACAGAGGTTGCCCCGTGTATAAAAATGAACAACAACAGAAAACACCCAATCTAAAATCTCAAAATAGCAATCAACCTTTTGATCATAAGAATTTATATAATGTACAGGTCCCCACTGGTAACACCCAATTAGAAAACACTAATGTGTATGAACCAAACACACAAATTGTACGCAAAAGTAACTTGTGATGGTGTCACGTTTTCATAATCGTGAGAATTATTTTAATAAAATACAGACAGCACATCCGCTGCCTGAGACTGATGAATTAACAAATAATATTTATTGCCAAATCGGCAATAAGTATAATTATTATAAAAACCCAATAGACCTGACCATCGTGGTCAGTCGACTCCAGTGCCTTGTGTCATTCATCAGTCTCAGTACTCGGTTGTCGCTGTCCGGCTTACTGTTTAAAGTAAAGTCTTTGTTTATTCCTCTTCTAACCTATATACTCTTTTCCTCGACATTTCAGAGTATTTGTGTCTTGCACTTCGTCTGCACCTCATACCTAGGTGTTACTCTTATTCTCCCTTCCTATAACAACAGCCTTTCGACACCCACAGCTAACCCGGAGTGTCAGCCGAGCACGGTGACTGCTGTACGACAACACGCACGTGAATACCTAGACAGCAGGCACCACCCCCTCATATTCGTCTTCGTACACACAGTTACACATTCACACTTTCACTACACCATTCTCTTTCCTGTGTTACGACAAACTCAACATACCAACTATTCAAACAAGTCACAAAATATAGAAACAACTAATACAAATAACAATGAACTCACTAAACAACTTTCCTCATTCTTAAATGACTTAAAATCCTTAATTAATCCTTTGATATCCTTACTAACCACTGTAATTAATAAAATTATTTTAAAAAATGATTAAAATGCCTACATCAACAATTCCTATCATCAAAATACTACTTTGGAACGCTAATGGTCTTTATCAACACAAAAATGAATTTCAAACTGTACTTAACCATAACAAAATAGACATAGCACTGCTAAGTGAAACTCATTTTACTGACAATAATTACTTTAAAATTTACAACTACACTATGTATAAAACTAACCACCCTGACGGCACTGCTCATACTGGGGCCGCTATTTACATTTCAAAAAACATACAACACGATGAAATAAGTCCGTACCAAGAATTATATATACAAGCTTCAAGTGTGTCTATAAAAATCAATAGTATAACAATCACTATATCAGCGGCATATTGCCCTCCAAATTATAATAGTATACGTCAAGATGGCTTCCAGCAGTTTTTCAACTCCCTAGGTAACTCATTTATAGCGGGAGGGGACTTCAACTCCAAACATCCAAGGTTGGGTTGTTTTGGTAATAATCAAAGAGGAAAACATTTGCTTGCAGTCATTAACAATAAACACTATTCAACTATTTCACCAAAAGGACCAACTTACTGGCCTACCCACGCAAACCGAAACCCTGATATACTCGAATTTTTTGTAACAAATATTCCAAACCAGCTAAGTACAAGCATAGAAAATATTTGTGACATCACCAGCGACCACTCACCTGTTATACTCACTATTGGTGGCGAAGTTTCTTATAATATAAGACCATCACTCACAAAAGGACCTATTAACTGGGATAAATTCAAAATCAATTTGGATAAAAATATTAACTTGAAAATTCCACTTAAAACCCATGAAGACATCGAAAACACGGTTCAAAACTTTGTCTCACTAATTAAGAACTCAGTAAACAGTTCATCCTCATTAAATAAGAGTAATGGAAGAAACGAAGTAATACTACCAGTTCATTTAAGAGCTCTTATCAGTGAGAAAATAAGAATAAGGTCTATTTGGCAAAACACTCGTTACCCCTCGTTCAAACAACTCTATAACAAACTAGCTAATAACCTAAAAAACCAACTTCAAAAATTCAAATCAGCCCAATATTAAAATTACATTCAATCACTCAACATTAAGGATAAATCATTATGGAGAGCTACATAACGACTGACTCAAACTAAAGAAACTACCCCTTCAAAAAGATAACGGTACTCTTGCTATATCAGACGAAGAGAAAACTACAACCTTTGCTGAACATTTATTTAATACATTTAAATCACATGACGACATCATGCCCGATTCAAATCATATTAATACTGCTAATGACTTTCTATCATGTCCTTTACCTATGTCTCTTCCTGTCAAGCCATTCAGTCCTGGAGAAATTGAAGCAACTATCAAAAAACTACCAAAAGGGAAAGCTCCTGGGTATGATCTCATCACAAATAAAGTGCTAACAAACTTACCAAGAAATGGTTTTCTCCTTCTTACATACATATATAATAGTATGATGCGATTTTCTTACTTCCCATCAATTTGGAAAATAGCTGTAATAGTTCTTATACCTAAACCAGGAAAACCAAAAAATATGACAACGTCATATAGACCGATCAGCTTATTACCTACACTAATCAAACTGTTTAAAAAACTTCTGCTGAAAAGAATCAGGCCAATATTGCAAGAGCATCACATTTTACCAAACACTCAGTTTGGATTTCGTGAGAGACACTCTACCATACATAAAGTTCATGGTTGACTGATTCAATAGCTTCAGCGTTAGAAAACAGCAAATACTGTACTGGATTATTCCTCGACGTAGCATAGGCCTTCGATAGAGTGTGGCATGACAGACTGCTTTTCAAATTAAAACACATAGTTCCAGTACCTTTATATTTAATAATTAAGTCCTACCTTTGTGAAAGGAAGTTCACAGTAAGACATGATTGTGCAAATTCTCCTTTTTAAAAAATTCAAGCAGGCGTCCCCCAAGGAAGCGACCTGTCTCCCGATCTTTACAATATATTTACTGCAGACATATCCCAGACTACTGATACTCTTCTCGCTACGTTTGCCGACGATACGGCTATACTTTCTACTCATAGTAATATTTCTCAAGCAGCCTACCACCTTCATGGTTCAAGAACTGAAAAATAAAAATTAATGAAAATAAATCAAGTCATGTAACAATCGCTCTCCGTTCTGAAAAATGTCCAGCTATAACATTTAACAACATATTAATTAATAACCAAAACGAAACCAAATACCTAGGTATAATATTGGACAAACGATTAACTTGGGGACCTCACCTTAAAGACAAAAGAAAAAAAAGCCAACAGCAGACTCCATCTCCTTCTTCAACTACTCAAATCCAAATTACCGCTTAAAACAAAACTACTCATTTATCAGTCATTAATCAGACCATTCTGGTCTTATAGCATCCAGATATGGGGACCAGCCAACCCATCAAATATCCGACCAATATATGCTTTCCAAAACATAGTATTAAGAATGATAACTGGCGCGTCCTGGTATGTAACAAACAACAACTTACACAAAGAACTTAACATCAAATCAGTCAAAGAACTAGTTACTTTACACTACACTAGATTCCACTCAAAACTTAACACAAACACAAACCCTTTAATAAAAAAAATGCATACTTTTACAATACCTGATAACCCACCACGTCGACTTAAACGAAACTGTAACCGTGACTTTTTAACTTAACAAAACAACGCCAACAATATAATCTTAACAAAAATATAACTTAAATAATCTAATTAAGGTGTTACCATTGGGTGACTTCCTTTAGTGTTATTAATGTCATTATTTAAAGTGTTAAAAAAAAAAAACTGTTTGTAAATTTAAATTGTACAGATTGTTTTTCTAATAAAAAAAAAAAAATATATATAAATAAATAAGATAATTACTAAAAAATTTGAATATAAAGATTAGATTAACTTATTAAATTTAATGATATAATGTATAAACCTTTTAAAATAAGTATAAATATTTTAAAATTTAATAAGGTTTAATATTTAAATTTCTATATATTTTTTAAACTGTTTTAGTTAAAACTCGTGTAGATTTGAAGCGTACCATATAATAACCGACTACAATAGCGCCCATTGAAATTTAATTTAAGGTGGTGGGTGGGTTTAAAAATTATTCACACAAAACACTTTCTCAAATAATATACAAATATTTTTTTTATCGTATAATATCATTTATTCTACTAAGACGGTAAAAATTAATAAATTTAAATGACCCAAGTTCTATTACATAGTTAATTATAAATTAAATGATCCTGTTTTATTTTAATAAGAAATTTAGATACTTCTTACTTAATGAAATCTTCATCCGATTTGTATCCTTCATATTCAGTTACTTTTCGTAACTCTGGTAAGTTTAACGTTTTTGTTCCACACACAAGTAGCTCAACTTCTTCTGGCATTAACATCTAGTTGATAACATACATATTTTATCAAGATGTAACTGTAAGTAATTATTTAATGCTTATGTGCATTAAATAATTATTTACAATCACCCAGGTTCACTTGTTTAACTTGAATTTTTTTTTATTTACGTTATGAACTTAAAGTAAGCACAAATATTTTATTATTAGTTTTCAAATGAAAGTGAAATAATTTCAAACAAATTATCTTATCTAAATCATATACTTTTTAGAGGTGCAAAGACTTTGTCTGTAAAAATTAAAAAAAAATTGTTATATAAGAATTATACATTGATTTTATGTTTCAAAATATAAAATAAAATCAAAAGCAATCATCCCTTATAAGAAGGAATATCTTATTTATTTTAAAATTATTTTACTATGTGGTTCTTTTTGTGTCTGTCATTCAAATAGATCTCAAAGAAAATATTTAAACAACTGTGTTTTAAACTCAAAAAAACTGTAGTTATTTTTAAACTGTGAAAAGTATAGTAAAGCATAATGTTACAATATTTACAAATCTATATTTTTTGCAAGAGATAGCAAATTGCATCTTCCGTGTTCTAATTAGAGAGTTTTGTAATTCAATAGTAAAAATTATAAATTAAATTAAAAATGATAATGATATGTTAATAATATTATTCTTGTATTTATTACTTTTTAATAATTTGCAAATAAATATTTTTAATTTTGTTTTAAATATTAGTACAGGTGTATATTAAATAAATGTTTAATGATTAGTACTTTTAATGCTTTTATTTTAATATAAATTGTTAATATTAATCAAACTGTATATAATTTTATTTTGAAGACTTAAAAAATGTAACCGATATAAACTTTTAGTAACAAAATTTGAAGTGAATATTTTAAATTACTTCATTAACGGGTCAATCCATGCAAAATCATCTAGAAGTGGTTACATAACCACCTCATATTTTTCTTAAATTTTCAGAGTTTATTCTTTATGCTGTAATTAGATTAAAACAATTTTTTTTTTATGACCTTCCCACTTTTATGGCTATTTCAATGTAAAAAAAATTGTTAAAAAGATCTACTCAATTGAGCGAATTCTAAATTTTGATTTTAATTGTAAAAAAACCACAGCACAGTGGGATCGCGGCACAGTGGGGACGTGACATAGTTGGGTCCAGTATAGATTTAATCTGACAGTGATTAAAATTACTATCATAAGAAACGCTTCGATGAAAATCTGTAGATAATGTTTAATTCTAAGAAATTGGTGGATAATTACAAATGCAACATCAACTATTTCCTTAATTATATCCAGATTAGTAATTAGATTCAAAAATATAATATAAAATTATATATTATATAATAAAAAATCATAGTAATCATTTCTAATTAACTTTTGGTGTTTAAAAAGATTCTACAATGGAAATATATACATAACTGAATTAATTTTAATGATTATATATCCATAAAAACCAATAAAAAAAAAAATTGTTAAAAAGATTTACTCGATTGAGCGTATTATAAAATTTCATTATAATTGTAAAAATCCATTGTTATATTCAGGTGAAACTAAAAATCATTTTTTTTTTAAATTTGTGATTTATATAGCAACATGTTACCAACAAATTTGGAATATTATAGTCTAGTAGTAGCACACACAAATAGAGTAAAAAAATTATTAAATTACAAAGTAAAATGATTTAATTTTGTATATGAAACCTATCATATCAAACTTGATTCGTCAATAAATATTTTGAAACCATTAGAAATGAATGATTTTAATTGTCTGTATGGAGAGCATGGGATAAGTAACTGTTTCATTAATAAATTAGAATTTTTTTCAATTTTTTAGAGTAATATCTTCAACTAGATACGAATTGTAGTCATTTGACGTATCGTTGAAAAAAGTAGGCCAAGTTAGAGCAGAGAAAATAAATGATAGTAATCTAATTCAACAATAAACACTTCAAAAATATTAGAAAATGAATGATTTTAATTGTTTTGTATGGAAAAAGTGGGTTGTACGTCGCATTTGTCCACAAGGAACTTTTATCGGAATCAAAAATATAGTATTCTAAATAAACTTTTTGCACTGTTTTCAAATCTGAAATTAGACTTTTTTTTATAACTTCTAAGTTTTTATATTATTACTAATTATTAAAAAATGAGTATTATCATATAAAAAAAACCCAACACAGGGGGGTCGCGGCACAGTGATGCCATGGTATAGTTGGATCAAGTATAATGATATCTAACAGTGATTAAAATCACAAAAATATACCAAATGATAGGTAAAGACATCAAGCATCTATAAAAAAAAAATTATTTTGATATATTCATTTTTGAAAGTTACGGCAGTTTTTATTAAAAATAATTGAAAAATTTTCAAAAATTAGCGATTTTTAAATTTGTAATTTTTTTGGAGGTTTCCCTCATTTACGGGGAACGAGTGAAATTTTTTCAATTTTTAAGGGTAATGTCTTTGACTAGATACGATTTGACGTATCATTGAAAGAAATCCCTTCGGTGAGAGCTGAGAAAAAGTGGTAAAAGACACAAAAAAAAACATATAGTAAAATTAATATATTCTCGGCTTCGCATCGAAGCTAAAAATTATATGATAAAAAAATGTATAGCAAGGGAAACAAGTAATTGGTCAAACATTTGAAGATTAATTCAATATGAAATAAATTAAAACTCACTATTAGAGCGTTAGAAGCACAAACACTATGAAATCCAAAATAAAATGCTCTAAATTGTTCATATATGGCATGGTTTAAAAACCAATTTAAATATAGAGTTACGTATTCTTCTCGGTTATCATTTGTTACTGGTATATTTTCACCATCCCGTATCAGTGAGTATGTCACTGTGTTTTTATTTTTTTCTTCTAATGAAACCTGTAATACAAAATATATTATGACAGAAATTAGCATTCTATAACTCCAAAAAACGGTAAAAAAAAAATGTAATTTTCAATTATTTTATCATAAATTAATGAAATATTGGCTTATTTCAGAATATTTATTAATATAACAATACTTAAGAAGTTATTAAAATGCTATGGTAAAAACTGGATAAAGGTGTGGGTGCTGATATTTTTATAACTAGTCATTTTCCAATCATATTCTTCATCCGGTCTAGGAATAAACATGAGAATAACTTCCCAAATACTGGTCCAAAAGTTGTTGTCGGTGAAAATTTTATTAATTAGTTTATTTTTTATTTTATAAGCTCTTTAAATATGTATATTATCATTGAAAAAATATAATGTTGACTTCCTTATGAATTATATGGGATAATGGTAAAATATAATTATTCACTGATAAATCAAGGGATATATTCTATATTAGCTTCGATGCGAAGCTGAGAAGGTATTGGTTTTACTATGATGTGTTTTTTTTATTTTTATTTTTTTTTTGTGTCTNGAAGCTGAGAAGGTATTGGTTTTACTATGGTGTGTTTTTTTTTGTGTCTGTTACCACTTTTTCTCAGCACTCACCGAACGGATTTCTTTCAACGATACGTCAAAAGATCACAAATCGTATCTAGTCGAAGACATTACCCTTCAAAATTGAAAAAATTTCCCTCGTTCCCCGTAAATGGGGGAAACCTCCAAAAAAATTACAAATTTAAAAATCGCTAATTTTCGAAATTTTTTCAATTTTTTTTACTAAAAACTGCCATAACTTTTTCAATAATAAACAAATCAACATAATTTTTTTTTCATAGATGTTTGATGTTTTTACCTATTATTTTATATATTTTTTTTGTAAATTTGACCCTTTATCTGCCCTCAGGGGGGGATTTAAATAGACAACTTTTTCACAAAAAATTAACTTTTTCAACTTAACTTTTGAAAATGTTCCGGAAGGTCTGACACTTTTATATATATCTTAAATTAAAGCTAATGTAATGTACTTTAATTTGAAAAAAAAAAATTTGACCTCTGGACTTGTCTTCATGGTGAAAACGGCTACCGAATGCTATTTTCGTGTGAAAATTCTCGATTTTATTATTTATATTATATTTAACTTTATAATGCTATAACTTATTGAAAAGTGTATGTATACACACAATTTTTTTATGAGAAATAATATTTTTTAATAAACCCTTTTTCATTCGACATACTTTATCTTAATCGAGATATTAATAAGGAACCAGCAGATCAAGTAGCTTTTGGAATAAAACACCAATTTTTTTAAAATTAAACACTATCTAAAGATTTGCATCGAAGCGTTTATTTTTGATAGTGATTTTAATCACTGTCAGATATCATTATACTTGATCCAACTATGCTACGTCACCACTGTGCCACGACCCCCCTGTGCTGGGTTTTTTGTTTTTTTTTTTTGTGTCTGTTACAAATTTTTCTCAGCTCTCATCGAACCGATTTCTTTTAAAGATATGCCAAAAGATCACAAATCGTATCTAGGCGAAGATATTACCCTCAAAAATTGAAAAAATTTCCCTCGTTCCCCGTAAATGGAGGGAACCTCCAAAAAATTACAAATTTAAAAATCGCTAATTTTCGAAAATTTTTCAATTTTTTTTACTTAAATTGCTATGACTTTTTTAAAAATGTACAAATAAATATAATTGTTTTTTTAAGATACGTGAGGTATTTACCTATTTTTTTTATAAATTTGACCTATACACAGGATGGATTCAAAATGTCAACTTTTTCACAATAAATTTACTCTTTTAGCTTAACTTTTGAAAGTTTTCCGGAAAGTCTGAAACTTTTATATATATCTTAATTAAAACTAATGTAATATACTTGGATATTAAAAAAAAAATTTTGAACTTCACGGTGAAAATAGCTACCTAGTCTATTTTTGTGTTAAAATTCTCGATTTCATATTTTACATTTTTAATTGTATAATGCTATAACTTTTTGAAAAGTGTATGGATCAATACAATTTTTTTATGAGAAGTAGTATTTATATACATCTTTCATTCGTCATACTTTATCTTAATCAGGATATAAATAAGAAAATAGGAGAACATGTAGCTTTTGGAATAGTCCACCAATTTTTTAAAATTAAACATTGTTTAAAGATTTGCATCGAAGCGTTTTTATCTGTCAATAAATAAAGTGTCGTAAGAGTATTTATATATATATATATATATATATATATATATATACTTACTTCAATGACATACATTTACATAATAAAACGGCTAGATAATTAAACAGAAAAAAATATTTGTTACTCATAAATTAACATGTTACACTGGTCTATAAGAAATTTTCATTATGGACTAAAATATATTTTTCGAAATTCATTATTGAACCGATTTTAGAATCTGTAAATCGAATTTTTCTATTACCTCTACTTTTTGTGATTATTACTAATCAATATAAAACGAGTATATAATCAACAAAAAAAATAATAATAAACAAAAAACCTCGGCGCAGTAGGGTTGCGGCAAAGTAGGGAAGTAGCATAGTTAGGTCCAGTATAGATGATATCTGACAGTGATTAAAATCACTATCATCAAAAACGCTTCAATGCAAAGCTGTATTATATATATAATATATAATGGAAATGGGTCTGATTAAAAAAAAAAGTATGTCGAATAAAAGAGGTATGTAAATATTATTTCTCATAAAAAAATTGTTTTGATCTATAAATTTTTGGATAAGTTATAGATATATAAAATTAAATATGTAAAATATGAAATTGAGAATTTCCACACAACAAAAGTATTCGATAGCCATTTTCACCGTGAAGACAAAATAAAGTCCGAAATTTTTTTTTTCCATAATAAAGTGTATTTTATTAGCTTTTATTTAAGATATATATAGAAGTGTCAGACTTTCCGGAATACTTTCAAAAGTTATGTTGAAAAAGTTAATTATTTGTGTAAAAGTTGTCAATTTGAATCCATCCTGTAGGCAGGTAAAGGATCAGATATACAAATAAAATATACAAAATGATAGGTAAGTATCTCAGGTGTCTATAAAAAAAAATTGTATTGATTTGTTCATTTTTGAAAAAGTAAAGGCAGTTTTAAGTAAAAAAATTGAAAAAATTAGCTATTTTTAAATTTGTAATTTTTTTTGAGATTTTCCCTTTTTATGGGGAACGAGGGATTTTTTTTCAATTTTTGAGGGTAATGTCTTCGACTAGATACGCTTTGTGATCTTTTGACGTATCGTTAAAAGAAATCGATTCGGTGAGAGCTGAGAAAAAGTAGTGACAGACACAAAAAAAAAAAAAATAGTAAAATTAATATCTTCTCAGCTTCGCATCGATGCTAATAAAGGTTATTTAGAATTAAGATGCAGTGAAATAAAAAAGTTCCAACAAATTACCTGAAACGTGAGTCCCATGTCATCTTCAACATTTCCTTCGTATTTTAAAAGTTCTTGCAAGCTTTGAGCTATATCCTGTGACACAAAAAGATAATGCTATTGAATATTAAAAGTATTTACTGTATTTTGCATCTTTATATTTTGTGTTTAAAAACAGTATGTGAACTTTCTTAATTGCTTTCCTGTATCTTTCTTAAAGGAAGGTCTTAGAAGGATAAATTTTCTCAGAGAAAAAAAAATAATATTGTAAAGAAAATTTATTTTTATTTCAAAAAGGAAGTGAAATTTGTCTTATGTATACTTTATTCTCTAGAACAATATTCTAGTTACATTGTTGGTTTATTAAAAACATGAGAGATTTGTTCAATTGTTTATAGGATGAATTTACTAGAGAATAACAAGTTTTGATCCAGAATCAATCCGGTTTCCATGGTTAACTTGTCCGGCGGTTCCCGTCGGCTGTAGTAACCAGACGAAACGTGACCTATAGGACGAGAAAGAGTAGCTGTGTTGCAGGCGCCATCCAGTAGTCAAACTCGTGTGGCGATGCAACCGCGTCACAATTCACGCTTTACATAGGTTTTAAATGGTTATAATTTCTGAAGAAGTCATTCAAAAGCTGTTATCGCCCAATTTAATTCTAATTTGGATTATTTTCTATAATTTAGGTTTTTAATATTTTAACTTCGATGCGAAGCTGAGAAGGTATTAATTTTACTATGATGTGTTTTTTTTGTCTGTATATGCTCAATCTTAGCTCTCGCTGGACCAATTTTGATGAAAAATATGTCAAAGATCATAAATCGTATCTAGTCGAAGACATTATCCTCAAAATTTGAAAAAAATTCCCTCATTCACCGTAAACGGTGGAAATCCCCCAAAAAATTACATGTTTAAAAATCGCTAATTTTCAACATTTTTTCAATTTTTTTTTACTTAAAATTGCCATAACTTTTTTAAAAATAACCGAATGATTATATATTTATTTTTTTAGACGCCTTAAGTATTTACCTATCATTTTATATATTTTTGTGAACATTTGACACTTTATACAGGGGGGTTTGAACCTTTAAAAATGCATATAGAAAGTAGAACTTTTTCAACTTAACTTTTGAAAATGTTCTGGAAAGAATGACACTTTTATATATATATATATATATCATAAATTAAAATATATATCATAAATTAAAGCATATGTAATATACATTAATTTGAAAAAAAAAATTTGACCAATGGACTTGTCTTATGACAAAATATCCGTGAAAACGGACATCAAGTTAAAGAAAAACGTACGATATCCGTGAAAAAATTCTCGATTTTATATTTTTAAATTTATATTGCTATAACTTTTGGAAAAATGTATGGATCAGTATTATTATTTTTTTATAATTTTTATATACCCCTTTCATCTGACACGCTTTTTTTTATAAATCGGATGCGTATTCAAACTAGGACATTTTCAATTTAATTTTTGAAAGTATTCCAGAAATACTGACACTTTTATATATATCTTAAATTAAAGCTTATGTAATATACTTTAATTTAAAAAAAAAAATTTGACCCCTCTGGATTTGTCTTCATGGTAAATGACTACCGTATTCAAAAATATGCTATATTTATGTTAAAATTTTGGGTTTTGTATTTTATTTTATTTTAAAATACCTGACAAGGGGAGTACAGATTTTCATAAATATTATATAAATAAAAAATTAATATAGCATAGAAAGTTAAACTTATTTAAATTTGTTTGCTTCTTTTAAGTCGAGAAAAATAACTTTGAAATTTGAACTAACTTAAATAGCCAATTTTTTCAACGCCGGTATCGACGTACGGTTGCCGAGTTGATAAAACTTACACGCATTGTTTGTAACAATGAGAACAATAGAAACCCGTTTCCTGACTTACTGAACACTCTGTATAATATAAGTTTTAATTTAAGGTAAAAATGTGTGAAAACATTTTTTTTTTTTAATTCCCTCCTGCGGGCAGGTTTAGAGTCAGATTTTCAAAAATATTATATCAAATGAAATAAAAATATCTAAGATTTCAATATAACAAAAAAAATTATTTTTGTTTGTTAATTTTTAAAAAAGTGATGGCAGGTAAGTTTTAAAATATTTCATGTTAAACAGTGATTTTTACATAAAAATTACATTTTTCGATAAATTCGTCGGCCATTTTCTTATAGGAAGAAAAGTTGACGGGACAAATATTTTTTTTGAACTTATGGTATTTATTGTAAGATTCAATTGGACATACATTTAAAGCTCGGAGTATTTCCGGAACATTTTCAAAAGTTAATTTGAAAAAGTTCTACTTTTTACTCGTATTTTCAAAAATTTAAACTACCCCTGTATAATGGAAAATATTCCAATTTAAAAAAAAAAAGTATTTCGGTTGAAAGATATATATATATAAATAGTATTTCTCATAGTATTTCATTCTTAATGAATAAATTGTATTGATCCTTACATTTTTCAAAAATTTATAGTAATTTAAAGTTAAAAAACGGTAGCACAGTGGGGTTGCGGCATAGTGGAGACATTGCATAGTTGGGTCCAGATAGATTTAATCTGACAGTGATNAATGTCATTAATGACACTAAAATATGTTTTGTTTAAAACAAAGTAAGTAGATTTTGTGTAGTATAATTAATTTTAGGTGAGGCTCAAGGCCCCCAAATAAGTTTATGACCTCTAATTGGGTATAATAACTTGCCTAAGTTTCATTATTATTGATGTACATTATTTTTATTACAATACAAAGCCAAATTTAATAACTAATTTGATAAATATATTATTATTTAATCAAATATAGTTATTACTAACACAATATAAAGAATAAATTAGTATACATTATGTTAATTGTATTATTTTAAATATTATATTTAATATCTAATTTTATTATATGTTCGAATTTATTTAACATTTATTAAAGTTCTTTAACTAAAAACATAGATTTAACTTTAGTAACTATTCTTGTGTAACATGACAAAAGTATCTAGTTGTTTTTCTTTTGTCTATTTGTATATAGATCACTGAANACTTAATGCTGCGGAGAAAAATTATTCTATTACGGAAATGGAACTGTTGTCAATTGTGTTTGCTTGTACGAAATTTCGTGTATTTTTATTGGGACATCGTGTGAATGTAATTACAGATCATCAGGCTCTTGTGTTTCTATTTAAATGTCGTTTGCGAAACGCTCGGTTAACGCGTTGGACTTTATTATTGCAAGAGTACGATTTAAATATTGTTCATTGTCCTGGGACTCAAAATGTAATTGATGCTCTCTCGCGTAGCCCTGTTGGTCGTGATGAAATAGTTGAAGAACCTATGCCTAGATTGATGAGTTTAAAAGTCGAAGCGCCCCCAAAACTTTCAGCTGACATTATTGAACTACTCAAAAATGTTGATGTACACCAACGGTCTGATTCTAAATTGAATGCCGTCATAACAGGTTATCTACGTCGTTNTCTAAATTGAATGCCGTCATAACAAAATTATCTACGTCGTCCCACATTCCAGTATTCTCTGATTATTATATGATCTTTAACAACATTTTATTCCGTCGAAGGTCTAAATCAAATGAATCTTGGTTAATCTGTTTACCCAATAATTTAATTACTAAAGTGATCATTAAATTTCATGAATTATATGGTCATGTTGGAGCCAGGAAATGTGTAGGTGTTCTGAGAGATTTTTGTGTATTTACCAATATGGATAGAATAGTCCATATTTATTATTAAAGACTACATATCATTAAAGACNTCAGCTACCCTTAATCGAATCATTAAAGACTACATACCCTCGCACGGTAAACCAAAAATCATAGTCTCTGATCATGGTAAACAGTTCAGTAGCCGTTTGTGGCAATCGCGTCTATCTGAACTTGGCATTCCACCTACACATACAAGTGTATACCATCCGCAGTCTAATCCGTCTGAATGAGTGATGCGTGAATTGGGACGTTTATTTAGAACTTATTGTCACCAATACCATACCGAATGGCCCCGATATTTATCATATATTGAGTGGGTGCTTAATCATACTATCCATGAATCTACTGGGTTCACACCAGCGAGTTTATTCGACAATACAGAAGAAAAGACCCTTATCAATAATATCATTGAATTTCCTCCGTGTCACACAGTGCCTCAAGAGCGAAAGATTATTATGGCTCGTGAAATCCAAATTTCAAAAGCCGAACAGCGGAAGCGGCGACATGATCGCAAAGGACCAGCGATATCATTCCATATTGGCGATCGAGTTTTAGTGCGAACTCATAAACTCAGCTCTGGAGTTGACAAGCTTATTGGAAAATTCTTTTTGCTTTACGATGGTCCTTTTGTGGTTTCGGAAATTAAACAAAATAATTCGTATGTGGTAACTTGTCCTTTGTCAGGACGTGTCAAAGGCACGTTTAATGTTATTTTTCTCCGAAGATACAAGTCGGCTGATGCTATAAGCTAATTTCTTTTTATTGCTAGTCATCTAAGATATTTTTTTATCACGTTTACTGTCTTTTGAGAAGTTTTGTTGTTGCACTCCAAATCTTCTCAGGGGGGTTTCTGTAACGTGACAAAAGTATCTGGTTGTTTTTTTTTGTCTATTTGTATATATATATTTGTGTTGAGCCGAATGCGGACTGCGACGGCGTTTGTTGGTAAAATTATCATGATAAGGTGATGTGATTTGTTTATGCGCGTGCGAGATAGTCAGCTGTGTACTACTTCGGACCGGTTCATGGACGGCATTTGTGTGTACATTCACCCCGCTCCTTTCCTATCTTGAACGTCATTTGCACTGCTCACCGCATACATTGTCGCCATATGATTTAAATTGTTTTTAATAATTTCCGGCACTGGGTATTTAGTTATTTTTTGACCCCTACTCTAAAGGCTAGCCGTTTGGTCGCCAACGGACCGCCGGGTCAATCGTCGGACGGGTTGTCGGGGAATAGCCATAGTCGGAACTGGTCGCACTATTTCCCGTCCGTAGCGTAAGTTTTTTTTCTTTTTTGTTGTGTGCGCTGCAACATTTTAATTTTATATATATTTTTTGTCGTGAGTGCCC